TTCAATAATAAAAGTCATCTTCTAAACCAGGTACCGTTTTTACTTATTCCACCAAAAATGCTTCGCAGTATTTTTCTCTCAAAACTAGCTATCATATTTTCATCTCCACGGGTCATTGTCCAGGTCTCACATGCGTATGTAAGCACTGATCGTATAAGACATTTATAGAGTAACACCTTAGTAGGTAAAAAACGCCTGCGAACACCTTAGTAGGTAAAAAAAGTAGATTCTGTGATACAGGCGGTTGAGTGGAGTTGAGTTGTTTTCCTGCTGATTTAGTTTTGGTTTCCAAAACTTCTAACTTCCGGTGGCAACACCTAATTTAGTTTTTGTTTTTAAAAAGTAGCATTACCCCTATTTCTGCCCACAAATCTGGTGTTGAAACCGAAACCAAAATTAAATTAGGCGTTGTCACCAGAAGTTAGAACTTTTAGAAACCGAAACCAAATCAGGAGGCAAGCAACTCCACTTCACTCAACAGCCTAAACCACCTGTGTCGTAGAATCGGCTCTTTTTTATCTATTCACCTTTCACTATTTTTCAATGGAATGAAGAACATTTATCAGAAATGAGAGTATGATGGCATTTCTGTCATAAAAGCAACTCCATTGCCTGCTTACCTCATTGCTCAACCAAAACTGTTCTAAAATTCCAGATGAATGAGATAGGGGCCGCTTCGCGGCCCAGATGCCCAATAGAATCAAAACACTAGGACTAGATGGCATTTCTGATCTCAGTACAAGTCAAAACTATTTAATAAAAGTAAGCCATCAGTTTTTTTTCTTGTAAATATCCAACAAATTCGGTGTAATTTAGCCCTGATTAACTTTCTAATGCAAGACAGCTCACCACTCTAAACTAAGTCTCCTGAGCTTATATGAGCAACTTAGATCCATCGACCAACACAATGGCAATAGCTTCTTTTAATCTGAAAGTATACGCTGCAATATGATTTAATATGAAATGTATATCAGCCATTAATGCTACTTCTATAAAGCTATGATGTACTCTTTAGCAGTACTTTTGTTTGCTTTTGGTTGTAATTTTATAAGTTTATCAATAGTATTATTAATATGAAAAAAAAAAGAATCCCCCTCTAGTTTCCGCTATTGAGGAAAGAAGAAAATTTCAAAACAATCTATAAGTATTAAAGTAAATACAAATTACAAGTAATATTTTTTTTTCTAACAGTTTTTAAAAGTTTAATTATTTTTATAATTTTGTAAAATTTGGAACTTTTTACCGTTGCTATAAAAAGTGAAAACATCCCTGAAAAATTCTCAAATAATATTAAGTTGAGTTTTAAAAATTTAGTAATAATTCATTGCTTTTTGAAAAATTTCAAGATTTTGGAGGAAATTAAAAATGGTGAATAAAAATGTTGAAAAAAATTCACGAATGATATACTAGTTTTGGGAATTAGTGATTTTCAATCTCCGATAAATTTTGTCATCTCACCAGATAAATATCGATAAATTTTGTCATCACTTATTTTATTTCTAAAGTGGTAATCCTAATTTATTAATTGCCATTATTTCAAACTTCATTTTATTTCATTTTTTCTTAAATTTACGATTATTTAGAAGTATTTTTTTCTTCTAATTTGTGCGTTACAATTAGTTGTTAGCTGAATATGAAATCTTTGTAGCTTTTAAGTTCAAATTTGACCTTATTTGGAAAGGTATGTTATAAAATTTTTAGCTTTACTTTAAAATTGTAATTTTAGAATCCTTGCTTACTAAACATAAAATTAAAATTTTAAATGACCCTTTTTATTAAAAGAAATTGTGTCGAAAACAATCGGATATCTTAATTATTAAGGTAGAAAGTATAAGCACTTCGTTCAGA